AAAAATCAAATTCCCTCCCCCTTGTAAATCGCCTTCAATGGAAGCCATGTCAGACTGAAGGTTCTGGGGGCTTCAGTCTGACACTCAGGCTACGGGAATGTGTTTGACAAAGAGAATAAATCTCACATTGATTTTTTTACAATTGCACCTGATGGTATTGTCTTCTCAACCGGGGTGATGCTCTGCTACTACTAGTTAAAACTCACAATTACTGTCAGCTTACAAGTTGTAGACCTGTTCTGAAACGTTTGTGGGCTCAGGCACTGTCATTCAAAGATATTTCACTGTGTGCATCCAGCTTAGACAAAGCAGGACATCAAAGAATAAAGTTGCTGAGAAAAGGTCTACTGCTCAAGATCACAATCCTTCCGTTGCACTCGAGACAGACCTTAAAAAGGGAAATTACTGACAAAGCTGGTCAAGAAGAAAACTGGGAAAAGCAAACTGACCCATTGTTACACTGCATGTGAATTCCTTGAGAGGGAGGAAAGAGGAAGGATGGGAAGGACTTGCATGATTTTCTAAGCTTTTGTTTGCATACCTCTCCCTCTGCCTGCATAAACAGCCTCCCCTCGGAGGAGTAAATCAGCCATTTAACAAGGCCCTGACAAACACTGTCAATTTGTCTATGTAAAGTACAGATTACCGCAGCATATAGCTGCATGAAGAGAAGAAGGGTATACATGGAAAAGAGAGGCAGATAAGAGGAAAAAGGGGACACAGTATAAAGACAAAAAACTCATTTTATTATTTTTATCCATTCTGTAACATGTTCCTTCCTTGATTCTAATGGAAAGTCAACACACGTCATATATTACGTGGATTTCCAGGTGTGTGTTTGCAACTCCTGAACTTTAACTTGACCCACTTTCTACTTTCCACATTCGTACATGAGGGACAGGGCTCAATCAGGCAATAAATAAGCCACAACAGGGTGATGACAGTGGAAATCAATGAAAAGCCAAGTGTGTCACCTCTTAAACTGGTGAACAAGAGGATTATGGAGACTAGAGAAAAACAGGAAGGTGGAGATCATGTCACTGTTTCCTCCTCTTGCGCATCTCTTGCACTGTCCACTACACCAGCTGCAGACCAGCGCTACACTATTTTCCCAGCCTAGATTTTCAGCCAGCACAAGAATTCAACCTTGAGAGGATGGTGTCACAGGTCTGACTGTATACGCTGTAGTCTACAGCCTCTCCCCAGGAAAGATGCATGCGGTCTGTTCAGTGAAACGCCACGTAGACAGGATGTTTGAAAAATGTGGAGACTGACTGAGGTCTGCTTAATAGACACGTACACAGGGAGTGGGTTAAAAAACTATCCCTTTTCGTCGTGTGCTATGTCTCCTCCAAACCCCATCTGAAACAACACAGAAACGTATGCTGTAACACACACAAACACCCCAGCTTCCATATGCCAACTCTATTCTCATCTGTGTGTCTGTATTCAACACAAACAATCCCAAGCGAAGAGGGCATGAAAGGGCACGGACTGTCAAGCTGGATGGAAATTTCTCATGGAGCTCTTCAGCCCCGTCGGTCACGATACCAGTTCCCTGACCAGAATCACAGGAAACCCACACAGGAAACGGTTTCACACAACAGAACCGCAATGCTTCCTACAAAAAAACAGAGTAACCAAATCTCTGCTGTATGCAACACTCCACCCCCTCTACACCCTTGAAAGCACCCATACTGTGTTTATTTTCCCCACCCAAGAGCCATGTAACCAAGCTTTCTGTTCAAAACCAACAAAGAGCTAACAAGATAAACCAGACGCCTTCGCCTGGATGTACAGACTCCAACATACTGCCCAGACACCAGAATGACCAGATAAGAAATGCAGCCTTGCTGTTCAAGGAGAAAAGTGTCATTTCAAAGATTATTAGAATTACCACTTCGCGCTTGTGTGCCTCCACTAACTGGTGAAGTTATAGTTTACAACCATGTCTGTCCAAACCCATATGTAATTAGGACAGTAGATGCTTCAAATATGATGCTGCAAAGAAGCTACAAATTCTACAACAGGGATGGTCCCACACATCAGCACAGTTTCAAAGTGGACACCCAAGATTAGAGTCACCAATTCAGTATCTGACCACATGTCACCCCGTCTCTTACTGAGTTATGATGTTAAGTATAAATTAATTAATTAATTAATTAATAATCAGGTAACAATGATTCTTATTTTCAGGTGATTATAAACTAATAAAAATACAGTTAAGAATATTTTATACCATTCCTGCCAATAGATGTCCTTAAATCCTACACACTGGACCTATAATGGGCCAGTCTTTTATTAACTTGGTACTTTTTTCAAGGGGGGGTTTGCTGTAGCAGAGAGGATCAATACTAGATGTCTGGTTTGTTATCCTTTAAACCTCCACACTCCACTCCTCTCCATTTCTCCATCTATCACCCCAAGGGCTGGGCTTTTTCCACAGGCACAGTGACAGCGTGAGGTCACTGACATTATATGTATAAATGTAAGAATATATATGTGTTAGTGCAAATGCAAGAATTGTTTATTAGCCTGTGTGCTCACATGTCCAGTCATCTTTCAGAAATGTCTCAAAAGCTAAATGAAAGCCAGATGTTTTGAGAGACAGAGTTATAGTCGACAAATTGAACTATTTCCTCAGGACAGTATGAATCTGGATGGGGTTGCCCCTGAGAGCTCCACCTGTCCTCTGCACACACTGCTAAACTGCTATTAACATAAAGAGCCATAGGAGGGAAAGGTCAATCTATCATCCTTTCTTAAAAAGCTCTCCATGGAGCACTCTTTCTCTATCTTCCTTTTCTCTGACAGCAGTGCCTAGTGCATACTCTCATTGTCCCTGTGAACTGCCACCTTATTTATTCTACAAGATATTCACCATGAGACGCTCAGTTGAGCAGGATAATGACTATTTAAGTGGGGTTATGTGCAAGTCTCACCTCGAGGGTCTGCATTAACGTGGGTTTGATGGCATCTTTCATTAACACTGCCAGAGCTCCGCTCACACCCTAACAGGAAGGAAGAAAGAAATATGAGGGTGGGGGGTTGGAAACAAGAACAAGTTATTAGCACTCAGACAAAAATTTAACCTCACAAACAACTAATATTTATGTAAAGAAAGGGTAAATGGTTGTCCAGATAATAAATGGTACTATAGTCTATTTGTTGGTCTCTCCCATAATATGCCTTGTCAGCAATCTAACCACACATTTAGTATACACACAGGCATATACCATATTCCCACTGGGACTGGCTCTGAGGTGTGGTCATGTTTTTGCATCCATCCTAATCAGAAAGACTAATGTAACTTTAGAGGGGCTCCTTCCTACGGCTTTGAAACAACACAGGCCACAGTCTTACGTGGGAAACCAGAACCAGCTGACCCCACAGATGGATCCGGTGAGAGGTGTGAAAACTCTGCTTAACATCTTAATCGCAGGTTACACCTACTGTAGAGCAGACATGTTGTTTTGAAAGGGGAAGTGGTACATTAGTGTGTCTGGGACAAGTGGGAATTCAGAAATTTGTAAGCTGCAAGTCTGACAGAAAATTATGGTGATGAGGAATTATGTTTCACATGTTTTGTACACGTGTCTCCAAAACAACCAAAGGGCCTAAACTCAGAACCCATTGGCTGACGGTCTGAGGAAGATGAGCCTACGGGGGCGATGGCCAATATTTTGGGTGTTCCGGTGGAGCCAGAGGATATCAGGGAAAAGACTTCTTCTTTGATGTAAAATTATCATTCATTATTTCAGCATTCATCATTTCTGCTAATCTCTATACAAATAAATCACCATACGCATGCAGTTCAATTCTTTAAAAAGCAAATAAAGTTAAATCATTGTCAGACCATAGCTGATAGGTTTCAAGATTGCATTTCGGCCAATGCACTCTGCGTGTGTCTGCAAGCAACTAAAGCTCACTGAAACGTGTTTGGTCAATACTGCCTGGACTGCAAACAGAAACCAGAATGCTTCCAATACCAAAATCATGTCCTCTTGCCTTCAGATTCTGCATAAACACACAGATATCTGTTTATGGAGATTAACAAGAGCCCAACACCACAGGTTCCCCTACCAAAAAATGTGGGACACACCTAACCTTCACATTTCTTCCTGCATGGTAATGACAGTTCAGATAAATGAGGAGACTTTCTCTAAGGAAGGAACTACAGCTGACTCGAGAAATTCGAAGATGTAGCAATGAAAGACCAACTGTGAGACTGTCAGGTTTAAAATCCCCACGCTCCCTGAGTAAAAAGACCACACAGTAACACTCACCAGGTCCTCTGCGGTGACTGGCTGTCCTGAGCGGCTGGTCCCCACCACCATGCGCGCCAGTCTGTTTTTCATGTCCTCCAGGCTGTCTGCCAGAGCCAGGATGGCCATGATCTCGCTGGCCACTGCTATGTCGAACCCAGTCTGGAGTGTGAGAAAAAAAGAAAATCATACAGTGTAAACCACAAGGGCAACAAATTGAAGTATTTGTTATGTGGCCTGCAGACAATTCAGATGCACTTACCCACCATGAAATTAACAAACAGAAATTCTGTAGTTTCATGGTTGTTACCGTGTAAAATCATGTGAAGGTTTGCAGCTACAATGCTAAGCAGACTGTTTACACTTGAACACCCAAATAAATTTGACTTTATTGTAGAGGCCTACTTCACCCACAAAATGACTGAATGAAAATATCTGTTAACGATCTCTCATACAACTCGTGCAGTATAATCCAAGTGTCATTTATCCAGTTATATGCTCAGTACTTCCCAAACAGACAGCCCATTCTCTTCAAAGCCAGACTCCATCTCCTCATGAGAGCATACATAAGTTTCAGTCTACAGTGGAGGCATGCGAGGAAAAGTTTTCTTTGTGAATTCAACGTAACACTGGGTGAGAAACTGACAAACAAATGATCATTTTGTGGGTGAAGTTTCCTATAATAGGTGGCGACTGCTTAGTAAAGAATAATAGTTTTGAGAGAAAATAAAATGTCTTGTTTCCTGACTGACTGAAGACCACAGTGCTGCAGCAATCACAGTGTGGGAAGAAAACTGGCAGATTTCCAGTGACTGGCAGACAACAGATTATCTAAACACCATAGTCACCAGCTTTATCACATGAGTGAGAGAATACAAATCATATGAGCATGGCCAACAATTAGCATGATAACTTTAGGAAAACACATTAATATTAACATATTTAACTAGCTTTGTGATGTGACTTTCTCTATCCATTTATTTCAAACTGTCAGAAACAGAAAGAGACCGAGAAAAGTGAGAGAAAGTGAGTGAATGAGGAATTCCCAAAGGGAAGAGTATGAAAACCAAAGCAGTCTCCATACCACGTCACAAGAAAAAAGAAACATAACTTAAACCACATCAGTCCACCAAGGAACACAACATTTCTACTCCCACTCCCAGTGATAATACCCTGAGGGGCTATAGTATGTCCAGTGCTGGAGGAAGGTGGAGGACAAAGGAATGAAAAGGGAAACAGAATGGATGAACTGATGGCGGTAAATGTAAACATATGCTGAACTAGCTCAGAGGTTGTTCCAGGTGTGTGTGTGTGTGTGTGTGTGTGTGTGTGTGTGTGTGTGTGGGTGTGGGTGTGTCACTTTTCTCCTTCTTTAAACATTTGCTTTCACTTAAGCCTGCTTGCTTCCCATTGAGGTGAAGTGTTTATTTACAGGATTTCATTTAGCTGTCATTACTACAGACATATGGGTGAAATACATCTGGGCTTTATCATGGACAGAAGAGAGGGAAATGGAGGGGCGATGTGTCTGTGTGTGTGCGCACGGGAAAATGTTTTATTCACTCATAGTTTTACTGTACAATTACCTAAAAACACAAGCATCTCATGCCACCTTACTATCCATATCACACCCATGTTAATCCCTCCAGGATTTTGCGGGCTTTATAGGGGGATTTTTTCTTGTAAAATGTATTAATAATCAAAACCTCACTGTTCTGTTCTGAGTTTGGTATTTAAACTAAGATAATGTTACCCTTAACCGTTCATGTCTACTCTAACTCAGCTTGTGTAAAAGATCTGGATGCAACAGCCTCTGTCATGGCGATATGTGTCATCTCTTGTCCACGCACTTCAGCCTCTCTCTGGGTGTGCTTTGCCATAGAAAAGTGTTTGTCAATCGATGACGTTTGTGTTCCACCACCAAACGGTTTACCTACGCTTTCATGAGGAACACCAGGAAATTGCCTTGCATGGCTTCAACAGTAATTTCTGTTAGTAAATGTGAGATGTTCGTGTCGCACGTGTCTGCATCTTTACAACCAGAAACAACAAAGTGAGTTTGGTGATGCTGCGTGGAGGACTGCTATGATTGGTGAAACTCAGGGCAAACTACACTTATTGGTCAAATTTGTGGAAAAGATGCTATGATTGGACAAAATTGCAAGGTCATGCAGAATTCACGGGGATTGGTTGAAGAACATTTTCTGTTTCAGAGCTGAGAACACTACAGTAGAATAAAGCCCATTTGAGTCTAAAAAAGAAAAACATTCTCTGGGTCCACAAAATCAGTCTTCTATTCATTGTCTATGGAGCAGCACCAGACTTTAAACCCTATGACATCACAAGTTTGAGACTTCTCTGGTTCCTGGCTTTGAGAGAGAGTCGCCCACGTTCACAAATATTGATGGAACTTTCCTGGGCCGTGGAAATAACACAATGGAACTCTAAATTTAGGTGGCATTCACCTTTAATTGATGCATTTGGGACATTGCAACATCCTAGAAGGGCTTGTTAATGAAACCCACCCTCAAAGCCTCTGCAATGAAAACACTGCAGTGATATCACTGTTTGTCACACTGTGTGAGTGACTGAAAAAATATTTGCAATGAGCTGGAATGTAACATATTAGGATCAGTGGATAACTGAGACCAAAACCGATACTGCAGAAACATTCTTATTCAGGTTATCGCAGAAATACACAAAACAAAGCTGGTGGGTGAAAAATATTTCAAAAGAACGTCACACATTCGGAGGGATCGAGATTGTGAAGGCATGAATGTTGCATACCTCTCTGATCTGTCCTTTCTCAGTGCTCGCTTGTCCTACTGTGATCTTCCTCAAGAAACGGTCATTTGTATCAACAACTGGAAACAAAGACAAAGAGAAAAGTTTAATTTCCTGCAGCATTTCTTAAAGCAAGATAACTGACACATCAATGACAGATATGACATCTAAACTTATTTAGAGGAGTAAATATAACTTGATCTGATACCTGAGACACACACAAAGATTTACGTTTTACAGCCTGAACCTCAGTGTGAAAATCCATTTTCACACAATGGTAAACAGACACAAATGCACATCCACAGGCCTGCACACACAGACACACACCTAAACCCAATAACCGACAAGCAGAGAGATTCTTATCTGTTATTGTGAGTAGGTGATGACACACTCAAAGCGCTTATGCAATGACAGATTTGCTACTTAAAGTTTCTTTACTCAGCCCTTGGCCTATTCTCTGATAATGTGGCTAGAAATCTGTGGCTATACTGTTGTTATAATGAGCCCAGAAACCACATTAGTCAAACATTCTCCTCATGTTGGTTTGATAAAAAGTGAAGGGGAAAGGAAAAAAAAACATGCTTTGTTTCATGAACACATGACACATGGTTACACCCACGTAACATTAGGTTGTAAATCTGTTTTTAATCTCCAGGGTTCGTCTTTTAAGAGTGCCCTCTGGAGCCACCAGAGTAAATAACACATCAGTCATAGCAGCACCCGGCTGGTTGTTCTCACTGACAGCTTAAAACCAAACACAGCTACCACTGAGGCAGCTATTCCCTCTCCTGCTACACCCACATTTATTACCTTGTGAGTGATGACTGTCACACTTTTACATTAGATGTGTTAAATCTATATGAACACAAGCCATAAAGAGTTGTCACAATCAATTTTCATTGACGAGAACACCAACATATTTTCAAAAATGAAAAAATAATCTATTCTAATTCGAGACTGCATGTGACTCTGTAAAGTTTATGAAACATGGGATGTTTGACAAAACTTCTTTCATGAAAATTAGATTTGCGTGATAGTCATACTTTGTGTTGTGTAGCAAGCATTAGCTTTAATGCTCCAGCGAAATGCAACAATATTAATTATGACATCAACAAAATATCCTTCATATCATTATCCCAATTATGAGAAATGTTTGTGCCAGTGTGGTGGGCACAGCACACGCCATACAGAGTCCTGCATCGGGTCAGGTACCAGGAGGTGACCTGTTTTGTCTTAATTTTCTTTTCAGGTTCAGTTCTGAGTTAAACTAAGAACATGTGGGTTGGATCGTGGCTGGTGGATGCCAAATGTCAAAATAAAACTGAGAAGAAGAATGATTTAATTAAATGTTTTGTGGTTTTAATCCTGTGACTGCTGGCTTTGTGCATCAGCTCTATCGTCTGTGCCAGCTGGAATATGACCGCCGCTTTAATCAGGAAAGTTACTGATGGGCATGTTAACTGTGGAGATGTGCTGCTATTTATTTTGAGAACAAGCATACTTCTGCTTTTTTTTTAACCTGAATTACCTTTGTTTTAAGATATATTGTCTAAAGTTTCCCATGCATGAAATAAGATAAGATAGAACTTTATTTATCCCAAAGGAAATGCCCTCAACAATTGTTTTGAAAGCTGCATGGTTATAAAAGCATTTGTGGTTTTGGGTTGGGCTGCAGATCTTGTGATTGATGGTCGTAACTAACTTGTGCGGGTGGCAGAGCGGGTGCAGTATTGCACGCCACTGCCAGTTCGGAGCAGGTTTTGAAAATCAGACCCTGGCAGGACTCTGACGCCATATAATATCACCATTTGAGTAAATAACACAGTTGCAGTTAAAGTTTCAGTATTAGAAGGCGGAGACCAGATATAATGTTAAGAGTGAATTCCTACACTTCTATATATACACCTCTCTGCCAGGTGATCTTGGAGGGGTCGAGGTCAAGACGAACAAAGGTGCTGACTTCCTGGGGTGTGAGAGATGCAGGATCTGCTTTATTGATCCCAAGACGCTGGAATAGAAAAGAGAAAAAAGATCAGAGGATTATCTGTAAGTAGGGATGCGTATCAAGAACCGGTACAAAATTGATACGGCTTTCTGACTGGTCAGTACCTAAATATCGATACTTTTCTGGACTTCTATTGGTATTCATATAACATTAAGTCATTCTAACTGGACTGGCATTTTTTAATTCCTAATTCTCCCTCAATAAAGACGAAGCTGCCAGCATCAGGTGGTTACGTTTGACGTTGTGTACCTGGGTGTTAACATTCTGTGCTCTCCAGTCATGGTTGGGTAGTAACGGACTACGTGTAATTGAGATGACATAATCAGATTGCAAAAAATAAGCAACAATAATCATTTAAAATTGGATTTTTAAATTGTCATTTTGCTTAAGCCTTTAAAAACACAGCAAAGCAAGTTTGACATACGGAGTTTTTTAGATAAGTGCTTCACTTCATAGCAGTAACTGATGGGTAATTTTGATTTGACCAACAGAAAATGCTGAATATGACAAATGCTTTTTATTTTCATTGAAAATGATTTGACATGTTAAAACAGAAAAAAAAATTGTGGGATTCAGATTTTTGTGGTTACGTCCATTTCTCTAGCATAAGGCGCAAGATTTTCAGTGTTTGAGTTTTAAGTAATCCAAAAGTATTCTGATGATTCACTGTCAGGTTCAAAAGGTTCACTGGTAGTGTTTCATTTAAAAACACATGTGACTCTTTATCTCTCACTCTGTCCATTAAAACCAATGAATATTTAATAGTCCTTTCAACATCTCATCATAGAGACATCACACACACACACATGTTCAAACTTCTCCTTCCTAGAAGCTTCATAAGACATAAACAAATATTTGGAGATGAGGACATGGTGGAGGGAAAGAAGGGATATTTTATGATAGGCTCACTGAGGTCCCCTGGTGGACAAAAGCATGTTTTTATTTTTAACAACAGCTCAACACAGCATGATCTGGCTATTTATGACTGATGACAAAAGAGATTCTGGCACTGCAGTGTTTGGACTTACACGTAGCCTGGAGATTTGGATGGGTGAAAATCTTCTGACTCCATTCACTGAAGGGACCAGTCTATTAAACAAGGCCTTGGAGGCAGAAGAAAACAATTAAATTAAGTCTGAGTGTGTACAGTATATGCATATAAAGTACATTTAATTGCATTTTGGAAGATAATAATGTTTTCTTGAATAGAATGCACCACACCAAATACACAATCACATAATGGATGTGACTGATTAATATAATTAGGCTGTAAAAAGCATGCTCTTACATAGATTAGTTAATTGTCTCTGTGACACATGGTTGATTTACTCATATCACAAGATAAGATTGTACACATAGTGAGGTCGAACCAAAAACAGAGCTATTAAACTAATCATATACATTTGTTCACTGCATTTTTTTCCATTTTTGCAATTAATACCCAGAACATTCACATGTATGCATGACTGAAATACTTAATTTAGAAAGCTACGATTGAATAATAAACATAATGCATAATATCCTTTCTTAAATCACAGAGAAAAACATCTTAATAGTAAATCTCTAGCGTTTGGAATTTTGTACAAAAACAGGAAAATCAAGATTGTCATTATGAAAGCGTCCAGGTCAAAACAAAACAACAGGTTCACATTTCTGGGGGTGTATTACTATTACTACTATTATTATTACTAAGTGACATCGTCTCAAAGTCACCTTGTCTGATTGTGTTGCCTCGTGGAGCATCCTGGCATCGATGGCTGCTGCCAACAGGTTGTTGGCTGCTGTGATGGCGTGAATGTCACCAGTCAGATGGAGGTTGAACTGAAGGACAAGACAGACAAAACAGAGAAGGAAAAAAACTGTGAAAGAGAGGTGAAATCAAAGTATTAATCTTGTAACATAGTGGTACATATTGTGGTAGTCTGTATGGCACCAGTGGAAATAAAACTTCTAACAATAAAAATTTGTTTTCCCATGATAAATGTGGCTTCAAATTAAGTAATCTCATGATTTTGCCAGGGGCTTAATAAACAAACATTAATTATATATATCAGATAAAATGAATAAATTAGGCAAATACAGTCACTGCAGCACCACATAGCCAGTTGCAGCAGACCCACATGAGTCAGGTAGTGGCATTTCTAGGATTTGACAAAATTCGGGGCTTTGATCCTCCTCTCGCTCTGTTTTTAATACAGACTTTTTTTAAATTCCCTTTGTAGTGAATTATGACAAGGTCCAGACAGACAACTTAACCATTCTCATCTCTCAGGGATAAACAGCATTATCTTTCTGAGCCTTCTGTAAATCAGTTATAGCAGAAAGTAGCATAAAAGCGAATTAAAATAGATAGTACAGAAAATAAAAATGACAGGTAAACATAAAGAATGATATGAACATATAAAAACAAATACAACAAAGAAAACTGAACTTAATAAATAGAGCCAGAATGTTGGGTTGTGTCTCCATAATACCCTAATCATTTTACAGAAAAGGAAAACCATTAAAAAAAAATCCTACTTTCCAATGTATTCAAGAACTTGCCAAGAACCTGCATTCTTATTAAAGAAGTAATACGCTTTATTGTGCTGCTTTTTGTACACTCCAGCACATTATTTAAATTCAAAGTACAAAATAAATGCCAGTGTGAATCAGTTTATTTTCATTGTGAATTACAAAATGGTCAGTGGGCCTCCTGGCACCCTATCGTGGGCTAGATTTGGTCTGTGGGCCGTGAGTTGAGTATCACTGCCGTAGGTCTTTAAAAATATTATGTCTAATATTGTCTCTGTTTGGCATGAGCCCTTCGATTTAAAGGAAACAAAAACATTGTGAGGAGGTGAGAGTAGGGAGTGGTAAAAAAGTGGAATAAATCTGGTGTTTTGGTTTGAGAGAAGGAGGCTGCCTTGTTGAAAGCTCTGTGTCTCCAGATCCCTCTCACTCCTCCCTCCCTGCCTTTACAGACAGTGATTTAGTCACAGGCAATATTATGCCACAGCTCCAGGGGTTGCGTGTGTGTGTGTGTGTCTTAACTAGTGTGAGTCTTTGTGTGTCTTAGGTCTTTGAAGCCTGCGTTAGTCCTGCTAGGGAGCACTGAGAGTGTCAGTGTGTCTTACCTCCTCCATAGGGATGACCTGAGCATATCCCCCTCCTGCAGCTCCCCCTAGGCACAGAGAAGAGGCAGCACAGTCAGAGGCAGACAAACAGGACAGGGACACACAAAGGAGGAATGCTGAGTGGTGGACTCTGAGTGAACTACTCCACCCCTGCACGAAATGTAGCAGGGTATGAAACGCTAGCCACACGCTGACAAAGACAGCTTATCAAACAGTTACTTGAGACATTCCTAACTGCTGGTTTGGGCGCCTGTCTGTGGCCTTGTCCAAACCCCAATCAATGTTTTCAATCGGAAGAGAAACAAAATGAAGTGTTTCATTACAAAATAACATCCAAACCATTTCAAACAGCTGGACATCTCCTGCAACATGAAAATGTGACTGAAGTTGTTATTAAATGTGATAACATTCTTAGAAAAAAAATATACAACTTATTATTTTGGAACGACAGTCCACAAAATCAAACACTACTGTATCATATTAACGTGGTCAAGAGAAAGCTAAAGAGCAAGTGAAAGCATACTTATCAGACAGAAATGCCATATACATTTACCACAAGGATGTAAGCATTCATTGCTGACCTTTAACCCCAAAGGTAGGTCCCTGAGAAGGTTGTCGCAGACAGGCAAAGGAGTTGAGCTTCAGGTGGGCAGTCAGGGCCTGGACAAGGCCGATGGTGACCGTGCTTTTACCTTCGCCCAGTGGGGTGGGAGTTATACTAGACATAGAGAAAACACAGAATTCTTTTTTTGAAATTTCCTTTTTTGTTTTTTGGTGTGCATGATGTGACTGAATCTCTGTGCATTCATGTCACAATCACATTTAGTCTGCTGTCAAATAATCAATACGTGCCTTTAAAAGGAATACTTTATCCCCAAATGACCATCTGTATATGAATGACTCTTACGTAGTGTTTACTGTGGAGACATGAAGGAAATCAAATTTCCTTTACAAATTCAATGTAACACGAGGTGAGTAAGTGATATACAAATGGTCATTTGGGGGGTGAAGTATCCCCTTAAGATAATACCATAAACAAAGGAGAGAGAGAGAGTGATCTCTTGCTGAGCACAAATAGAACTTACTTCATTTTTACATCACAAAATTAAGCACTAGGTGGCACTGAAGGAACATGATAATTAAGAAAAAGGATTCAGTTGATGAGTAGGTCATACACACCCAGCAACCAGTACATATTTCCCATCAGGCTGTTTGTGGAGGCGGTCCAATAAGGAGAGCCGGACCTTAGCTTTGCTCCTGCCGTAGGCTTCGAGCTCCTCTGGCAGCAAACCAATCTCCTCAGCCAGCTGGTCCACTGGCTTTGGAGTCTGAGCTCTGGAGATCTCTATGTCACTGACAACCACAGAAAGCATGATAAACCATTCAGGTTGATTTAATTTTAAAGCATCAAACACATGGACAAAGTCTCTAAGGTACAAGTAAGAGAACAGTATGATGTGTGAAAAAGATTGTAAGACCACGTGGATGTGGATGAATTTCTTAAAGCCCCTTACAGATAGTAGTGTATACCTTGGTACAGGGGTCATGGGCTGCAGTTTGAGGCTGCGCAGATGCCATGGGCGGTACTGCTGCTCCTTGAGCCACCGACTGCAACTGCGCACCACATTCTAGTAGACACAGAGAGGGAGGTAAGAAGGTAGAAAGCTTAAGAACAAGAAAAGACAGAATATAGTAAGCGAACGGGGCAAGAATGGAGACAGAAACAAAGAGGCGCACCTGTGTTCTGTAAGCTGCTGTGAGGTATCCTAACCCAGACTTTGAGGACATCTCAGTACCATCTTCATCTAAAACAAAAAACAGCATCATAAATGCACTTGTTGAATAAAAACATTCATTGACAAATGTTTATTTAAAATGCATAACTAAAATTGGTTTATTTTCATTCCCAGTACATATCTTATTTGCATAACCTATGTGTGTTCATTGTAATCATGAGAGACTATGAGGCAGAGATGATCAGACAGAAAATATTAACAGAGAGGAAGACAGATCATCCTGAAGGAACTTCAGAGAGTCTTTGCACAATAAGGTGTTTGAGGGGAATTCCTGTTATCATCCTCTCCGCTAGCATGAATAGATGCATCTCATATCCACCAAGAGATTAAGAACAAAGTCTGGGTTGTTTTGAAACTGAAATACATGAAAGCTCATTGTGAAAGACACTAAGCCTGAGAGGAAGGCGTCCTTGTTCCTGGGTGATAATGATGAATCCTTGATAAGGACAAAATGGATGTGTGAGAAATCTAATTTGTAAGGTAGAGCTGGTGGGAAAGCATAAAGAAGAAGACCAGAAATGAAGATTAGAAAATGATCTTGGGTAAAACTATGACAAACCTGTGGTTGGCTTCAGTTTGTGTGTGTTGTTTTAAAGTTTCCTTGTGTGATAGCACCTCCATGTGAGTGAAACTGTAATGGCACACAATCTTGTATTTCAATTCATAACCAATCAGAAACCCTCAGTGACTTCTGTGCTTTGATTAATGACCAGTCAAGTACATTAGGAGGAGTGTAGCATGAAAGGTTTAAAAAACTGATGTTGGAGGAAGTGTTATTTTGTCTGCATTCTGAATCTGAAGATTAAAACACTTTGTACAAAAAATAGGAAAAGTTTTGTTCATCTGTAGCCCCTTTTACACTGCCTTTTCAAGGCTGGAATGTTGCGCCGTTATTCTGCCTTGTTTTCTTGTATAAAAGGTACAATCGTGGAATGGGGGACAGACTTGTGTTGCCTTAAAGCCAGCTACGGAGGTAGTAACAGCGCCAAATTGTTGTCTGTGTAAAAGAGACAACTGGCAGGGCAGGATGAGTGTGATATTTTGACAATGTGTTATGTTTGCAGTCCGCCACCAGAGATTTTTAAAGTAACTAGCTGCAGTTAGCAGCTAACTCAGAGAGGAACAGCAACTGAAAATATTTGCAATTTGATGACACAATAAGGTGAGGGAGCTCCTTACCCTTCGAGCAGAGAAAGAGATCAACCGACACATAACAGGGACAGTAAATGATCGTTACTGCCATGTTTTGGCATTGTTATCTTTTGGAAAATGCTGCCAAACGTGTATGTTATGTGCTACACTAGACACCAACGCTGTTCTGTTATACATCACACCTCTTACACTTCCAGAATATAGATTACAGTAGTATGTCTATGGAAGCTCAGATGCATTCTCAAGTGCTTTAGTCAGCTATAATCCTTTTGAATGGGTTATGAAAGGTCAACAGCAAACAGGATTTATGTGCAGTGATGAGGTTTATAATCCAAGCAGTGTGCAACACCCAGGGGTGTGATGCCAAGAGGCTAAGTGAAATTTATTTTCCACTATAGATCAAACTCATGCAGGGTGATTGTGCTGACTAAGACGACATACTCAACAATACCTGTCTCCATGGTGGGCTCACAGCAGATGACAGCAGCCCCTGGTCTAACCCAGGTGGGTGGGACATCTATATTCCCTGCTCCTAACAGGACCACAGCATCAGCTTGCATCATCTAGGAAATAAGGAAAGGAGAAGAAATTAGATATGAAGACTTTAACAGAGAGGGAAGTTAAAAAGAAGAAGCAAAAAGAGTGCGTGACAGGCATAAACAACCTTAATGACTAAGTTCCTTCTGGGAAATGTGACTGGCCAGTGGAAATATGTGCAGCACAACTGTTCAAACAGGCTCTGTTCATCTGATTGTGATATTTTATGACTTGCATTTGAAGAAGCAGAGACTGACTCCATGTGGTCAGCCACTAAAACTACATATCTTGGAGCTGGTGCAACGAATAACAACAGATGTTTAAGGATACAGAGCATAAGAAGAGGATAATGTGAAAAACAGCATTAAGGCTTTAGCAGTGTCTTTCCAAACAAATGATAAAAGTAGACACAGAAAAAGAATGCCAAGCTGAGCAAAAACAGAAACATGGACCAAACAACAAATTTTTTACAGGTCTCCTTTCAAGTCTAAAGTAAACTTGGGTAAAAAAGTGTTGAGAAGAAAAGGGAGAAAATAATCACATACATACAAACACACCTGTCTCTGTAGACTCTTGGAGCTCCAATGACTCTTGAGAGCTACCATTCCATTCCTTTCAATCAGGCACTGCAGGGACACCACAAGAGGTTCTTCTCCTCCGACCAGCAGCACAGATTTCCCCTCCAAAGGAGTATCTGCAGAAATGTTTTAATGCACAACATAACCTTCCTTATTTATTCCATGAACAACCAAACTCCCAATGTGATCTACATGTCAATTACAGTGAAGCCCATGTAGTCGAGTGCTCATGATACATATCAAAATGCCTACTAATAAGACATGTATGCCAATAACTTTGCACACCATTCACAAAGCAGGTGTTTAATAACTTTGTGCAACATTGTGGTCATAATTACAGATAAGCTGATATGTGGGAAATTTTTAAATCTAATGCCCATAAACTTTAGATTTGGAAATTTACCACATTGTATAATAGTGCAACTGGATAGAAATGATTCACTTTCGAGTCATTGCATGTTGAAAAACTGCGTCACATGTTAGCTAATCTGAACTAACTCTATCAGGGACACTCAGAATAACTGTGACCCTATGTACATCTGAACTTTGACCCCTGCCCTCTGAACCTCATGATGTGTCTCAAATTGGTCCCAACTCAGCACTAAGTTGGCTGTCAGCATTTTCTAATGTGTGTCCCAGTGCCAAAATCTTGTAGGTGCACAGTGAGTATACATTTGCAAAAGCCTTTTTCTGTTCAATTCCCAAATTTGACATTTTTTCAAGGTTATATACATATGAGAAGTATAAATATGAAAATTAGTACATTCACCACTAATTCTTACATGTACTAACTACATACTACCCAAAACACAATTGATACAGTGCACTTTGGATAAACACAGCTGCATCTAATAAAATTACTAACGAGTACGATCTGGTGTGACACAATAATACAGAAGCCCTATTTACACCTGGTATCAACATGCCTTTTGGGTGATCTGATCACAAGTGGACAGTGCTAATTACAAGTGTAAGGAAACACCAAGAAGCATTGCAATCCGACCATTCAAACAACTTGCCGAGGTGCTTTGGGATGAATTAGACCACATGTTCTTGTGTAGCATAACTGCTAATGTGTCCCCAGTAAGGACTGTGTCACCAGTGCAGGACGTGGTGGTTGGTGACAGCGCACTAACGCTATATAACTTACTCATTTTATGTCAAGTTGGACAAAGCATTGCGTGCACAGCCATCATTTTGCCCTATGGAATTCTGCTGACAGCGATATCTCTAGTTGTACTGACACAACCACTAACATGACTAGCAAGGACGCTACACAGCAGCTGGCAAACTTGTGGACATAATAACTGTACGTGTGCCAGTAACAAAATTTGAACACAAGTGATCAGCTGGAGACACATGACAGGCACAGGAATGAACAGCAATGTGTCTTGGCTGTCCACTTGTGTTTAAATCACCAAAACGCATGTTAATGCCAGGTCTAAACAGGCTCTGATTGTCGGGCCTTGCTGCTACTGTTGCTTTCCATGATCAGACTCACGCTTTCATTTTATCAGCTTCACCTGCATTTTGCATGCTGTTACGTCTCTGAATAGTGTCCCTTTAGAGGTAAATGTAAGCACTGTTACAGCTACAGATGTCGAAGTGTATACCGTGTTTCTCCAGCAGATACAGGACAGCGCTTGCAATGGGAGGCACAAAGCCTTTGCTCAGGTCTCCTCGTACCAGACGGCCCACATTCAAATCGGATATCCTATATCAAGACAAAAATGGACATAAATACAATAGAATCCATTTTCCATATATCAAAATAAATTAATAATTCTCCTCCCTGGAGGCTTGTCACTTCTAGGATTGCAGGTCAAAAAACACAACAGAACAACCTCAACTATTTTTCATGACTTTGCTTTACATGATTTGTCCTGGCTGATCTTAGTCTTTTTGTCAATTTGTGTTGATTATGAAGGGTGCCTTCCAAATTACTTGTCTGCTGAAGTCACACACTCTGCATTTAGACGATCTTAATACTGTGCAGCCTTTTCTCATTTGATGTACCATGTGAGTGTATGGGTTTATTTCTGTTAAGACAGCTGATACCTGGCAGACTGCTGCATAAAAATGTCTACTGTCGACACATGAAACAACGGGCCATGCCAGTTTTAAGAGAATACAAATGATTTAGGGAAGACAACATATCTTAAATCAACACAGTTAAAGATATTTAAACAGCATGTGACATTTGGAAGAGATACGCTTTTCACTGTTATGTCACTGAGATTCGAAAATTCAGCAGTTTTTAAATGCAGTGATTGGAGTTGGCTTTTGCAGGTTTTTACCCGTCTACGTCCTTCTCTGGTTTCAGTGTGCTCAGCACTCTATTGGTGAGGGAAGCAGGGGGGAGGTGGAGGTAAACTCCATGCACCCTGGGGTCTTCATTCAGTTTCAACACCTCCTCTACAATCTACATGCATTCACACAAAGACAAAACACATACAAACAGAAATTAGTTTTTTGGTGGAACAAGTTTACAGTATTTGCGAGCACAGTTGCAATCGTGGAAATGTAACACATTAAAATGTTAATGTCACACATGCTGTTACAAGTACTGTCTGAAGGCTGTATGGTCTACAGAAAACTCCGGCCTTCACAACTAAAAGATTAAGTATCTTGATCTTTAAAGGGAAAAGTGCTGATTAACAACAAGGGAAAGAGTGAGACAGCAAGTGCACCATCAAATTTAACACGTCAGTGCTCCTGACAGCACATAAAATATCGTAATAATTTCTGAGGGAGGAAGGGAAGGTGGGAGAAAACAGTTGTGGCAGATTGGTGGTGGAGATTTTGATAAAACAGAGGCAAGATGTGTGAAGAGCAGTGGATCAGTACATTAGTTGAGTCCTTGAGGCCAGGAGCTGTAATACAAATCATCAACTGTCAGAAGAAATGCCTGAGCTGTTCCCAGGGTTTCATCCTTTCTATACGACTCAAGAGGCTACTTCAGTCTGGGCAAAGAGAGCCACAGCTGAGAGACTGTTTTTCTAGTCCCAGTTACACAATGTTGGGAAATACCATGTAGTGAAAAATGAAATGAAACAGAACCCTAAAAAGTGACTAAATGTATTAGGAAATCAGGGATTAGTCATGTAACAGTTGATAGATGATTACTGTAAGTCAAGTTAGGTTTTAACGACATCAAACCTTATGTTGTAATTACACTCCACACAACCACTATGATCATATGCTGCACAGACAAAAGCCACAGGAAGGGTAAATCATGCACCGAATTACTAAATAACAACGGGGCGGGAAGAGATTTCCTTGTTATTTGCCGCTGAGGTAAACCAGCCATATTTGTGAGTCAGCTTCACTTACTTCATCTTCACTGCACTCCTTTGACAGACAAATCTGGATGACATTTATGCCGATCTGTTGACACACAGACAAGGAGAGGGTTGAACTGTTGAGTAGATTTGTGGAAAAGACAACATGGATAAGAGCAAGAGAGAAATTTACCGTTTCTGCCATTTTCTTATTGATCTCCAACAAGCTGTCATCTTTACCTGCCTTTGAGATAAAAACAGCACACTGAGAAAAATAACCCACAGACCTGATTACACCAGCATCTTCAATGGCTTCAGTGAAATCATAAACCTGATGTAATCAGGTCACTACTAGCACAGCACAACTCTGCTGAGGTAAATTGGCATCATACTACTTTTTTTTTTTACTCTAGGTTTTTAAAATACTTCAAGGCAACCTTTCACAAAAGAGTAACTTGTATTTACACACATGTTCTCATTCTTCTGTTTTTGCTTACAATACCTGTATAATGGCTAGCAAAGGTTGGACTGATGGATTCCTTCTCTGCAGAGCCAACATGGCCTCCTCGGTGCTCTGAATCACATCCCTGTGAGAGAAAACAAACTGGTAAACAATGCCCAATCATCCATTTAGGGCTATGCTGTGTTTGTGGCTGTAAATTATGCCTCAAACTCTCTCACTTGCCCTCTTCAAATGACATAATAATACCCCCTGTGAAACCCCTATGTAATCCCACTTAATACATCATAAAGAGGGTAATTTAGCCATCTTTGCTGCAGTTAAGGGAATAACACTCCAGTAAAACCAAAAAGTATCACGGAAATATGTGTTTAAAAATTAAATTAACAATAATTGCAAGTGAGCACCTAACTGCGCATGTGATAAAGTGTGGGAGGGGCCCATATGTTAATATCTACAGTTAACACACTGACCTATATATTCTGCAGGATCTTTAACACTGCTAAATCCACATCTAGGTGTCTCAGTTTGTGTCACATAACTCTTCAGTACAGCACATTCACCCATATGTGTTTTGGCGTAATTCCCTAGGCACATTTTAGCATAGTGTGTTTGGCAACAACGGAGCAGAGTTACATCAGCTGGCTGGAGACCCTCTGATGATACCGGCTACACGTGCGAAACTGGCCGCTATCCAACTACAAAAGCTACGGCGAGTCGGAAGATACTGACCATTGTTTATTTCTGCAGCAAACTCGACTTTTATCTTATATTTGGTTAAAAATAACACAAAGAAAACATTAATTCAGTAACGTGTGGTCACGTATGTTTTACCGTTTTTATTTCCTGTTTACCTCAAAACACTGTCGCTCTCTAACCCATCTTCCTTTTGGGACAGTTGCCCAAAGTTAACAGCTAACTTCTGCTTGGTACCGCCGCTGCTAGTAGCGCTTGCCGCCCGGATGAAGATCCGACCGTTGGCAGGACCAACCGGTAGACATCTCCTCGGAAAGCCGCTGACTCTGCTTCCTGGTCGGGCTGGATGTATCCGAATGCTGCCACAGGCACTGCGAATCATTGACAACTTCATGGCTGTTTCTTTAAGTGTTTTTTTTTTTTTTATCGTGGCGTTTACGTTCTTTCTTCTCCTTGTTGGTCTTGCGGCGTTTAGTGAAGGACTCAAACTCCCGGAGGAACAAAAAGAAAGTTGAGATAGCTAGCGTCAGGGTGCTGATGGAGGTACGCTGTCTTCAGGGACACTCGGAAATTTGAGCACTCTGCGGCCGATATACATTAACATCCCATTATGACGCTTTAAGCCATATGACGTTAAAGGCAAGGTAATTCGGACGTCACGCCCTATCGCTCAGAAGCATTTTATCAACACGATAAATCTAATATAATTTACACAATGTAATGCGTATCTAACCTTTTTGGCACGCGTTCTTTTATTATTAATTAGGCGGGACATTGATATAGTTCCTTCAAATTTCCGAGATACACCTGAAAGCAGCATGCTCAGAAGAACAGACATGCATGAGGTTACGAGCACGCGCGTTCACGTGCAATATTGGCACATAGAAGAGGACAAATCAGGTCACATCAGTCTTTCAGCTGGCGGTCTGACGACGACATGCATATACATACATATGCAGATATCTTTTTAGATTAAGGTCACATTAGTTCACAAACTATTACCTGTACATCCAGGTAGGTTCTCAGTGAAAAAAGATGATGGCCTATTGGTGTGTGGAACATTATAGAGGTTCAACAAATATTTAAAATAGTAATTTAAAAAGAAAAAGGAAAAAGCTTAACCAAAGTGTCTCTGGATTTAATTTTGAGAAAGTTTTTAGATGATAGTTTTATGCGGCTGTTTTGCAATAGAGTAAATCCTAAGCTTTGTCTTTGCTCGGGGTTTACAGTTATGCAAATAGACCTATGTGTTAAACGCAAAATAGACAAAACAAACAAGGCATTTATTTATGCATTATTTTATTTATTTTGTTGTCTTTTTTTTTTACTTTGTATTAACAAACAGCAGGAAAACATACATAAACAGATAATAGATAATGCCGGGGATCAGAGCACTAACAGAAATCATACATCATTTCATAACATGTTATATGGAGTACACAGATTCAAGGTTTTGGTCGATTTCCTTTTTTTAGAGAATAATTGATGCAATGATAATGACTTAAATAAGGACACAGAGTCACAATAGTCTGCATACATAAATATGATATAATAAATACTATACATATATATAGATATAATATAATACTAAAAGACAAGAAATATCCAACTCTACATCATGCTAATCAAGTTAATATAAAAAGACATAATTCAATAAACTGCACCCACAAACAAGCTGGAGAGCCACTGGCCCCACAGCCTCAATGAAAACCTTGGCCAAGGCCTGGATAATTGCATTTTCTTAGACAGAGAGTCTGCACATATATCGATATATAAGATTTCATATTAAAGCAGGAGAGGTATGCACACCAACTTTACATTTACAAACATTTGGCTGGCACTGCACCATCGTGGAGTAGTCTCATGCCATTGTTAAAGGAGTGCCACAGGTGGGCAGTCATGTATTACAGTAGAACCAGCTGACAAACTAAGCAAAGCAAAGTCCTTTTTCTACCTTGGTGGGACGAGACAACTACTCCCACTATGTCCAAACAAATGAACATTACATCATAATGTAAAACAAATGTGTTAGACATTCACAAGAAGGAATGAATTGCCACCATTTTAAAGGAATTAGGCAACAGCTTAGGGCCATGTTTACTTCCTCTCAGATGATGTCATTCACATGCACTGCAAAACATCCTCACTGGAAATACAAAAGGACTTATCTAGAATGTTTATGTTGTCACGTTTGAAATGCTTCATATGAAAAGAGAACAAAATATGTTATTCCTTACTGTATACTCTTATACAGCCTATTGATTTTATGGGAGATAGCCTGCAGTTCTACTATAGGCTGCATTTTTCTGCTGCAATCCAAGTAGCCTGTTTAATTTCAAAAGGGGCCCCTGTCTTTGAACTTTATTTTTTATTTAGTTTTCACCAACAACTATACAGTGTATATGTTTCCCTTTTTCCCAGCTGTATATAACATTCATACACAATATATTCAGAAATTACCCAAACTTGAAGAAGACAGCATAGACATCCACTCTGACATCTTTACCCATTGGTTAGAAAAAGCAAAACTTAAATACAAAAATATAAAAATACGTTTTAAAAAATGAATGAAAAATAATAGTAATAATTGTCCACTCCACATTATAATCACACAGATAAAGTAGATATGTGATATGTGCATGGGGGGATGTAAAAGTAAAGTCTGACAGAGCCCTACTGCATGATAAACCTCATTGTATTAATAAAACCATGACAGGACTCCATCATTTAGTAAAGAGGGATTTCTGTAATCTTAATGAGTATGTAATTTGTTCCATCTGATAGTGGTCCCAGACTTTTTGCCATCTGGTGGTTATACACCTTGTTGAAAAACCTCTTAAAGGGCATCAAATACTTCTCTCCACAAAACCACATTTTTAAATGATGGAAAATAATAATTAATGCCAATATCTGAGCAAACGTCACTTAATATCAAATTTACCTTAATAGCACTGAAGCAAGCTGTGACATATGTTTCCAACAGTACAAGTGAGGCTGTCTCTCTCACGCACACATTCACACACATAACACAAGAGAGGACTTTCAGAAGTCATTTGGGCGTGACTGGTAAATCTCAACGGCAACTGTCTCCACTGGCCCCAGCACCGTCAGGTATCACTGCCATCAAAACTCACAAATAAAACGTTTCCACGGCGGCTGCAGCTCAACAGACAACTATAGTGACTGACAGGTGTCACCAGAGTCATAAAATCACCTGTTCTGGACTCCCCCTTTCATTTTCTAACAGTTCTGCCCTAGGAAAAAAGAGGCCTGTGCGCTTGAATTGGCACTCAGTCAGTTCATCCACACCAGCTGCTCACACCTCACCCTGTCCAATCGACGCTCCTGAGGCGCAGCGTCACTGCAGAGGCCAAACCGACCGGGCTTCATTCCTCAAGTCACATCAGTACAGTCGCATGGTGTGGCTCTAAACTACAGCTGAATACCAGTTTAGGCTCCAAAGATAGCTGCATTACGCATGTAGGGCCCTTTGTTCCTGCTCACAGTACGGAGCAGTCGACTTCATAACTGTAGGATGGTGCTGTGGCACCACGGCCATCTTACGTTAACGGACAAAGTTTGATCCCTGTGTTCATCAGAGCACAACAGGTAAGACGCTCTCCTTTGATTTCCTTTGTGATCCTGTATGAAAAAGAGAAAACCTTATACCAGTAAGCTGCCAATATTGTAAGAAATGATGAACTTGTGTGTGTTGGGGTCTGTCATAACATGTGCCTGAGATTTAGCCCCTCTGGTGAGAGATACTCAAGTGGGGTAGACAGATGGATAGATACAAAAATAACATTTATTTTTATTTATTTATGTATTTAATTGCAAAAAAGAGGAAAAAAACAGCATATCTTTAAAATTAATTTACATAGATTTTACATTGCTTATTATTTGTACCATATATAAAGTCTAAATTGTACATGTCTGTATAACCCCTTGCCATTTACTTTGATGATATTTTAACCATGAGACTGAGCTGTTGTAGATCATCTGAATAATCCCTACTATAAAATAGTATTTTTTATTTTTATTTTACTTATTTATTTATTTATTTATTAGCTACTGACTAATGATAATAAATTTAATAGTCTAGAATAATTATTTTTAATCTAATGACCAGGAGCACTTGAGTCAATAGCAGTATTCATACCTTTAGATATTTTATCCACAAAATTTCAACTTGTTTAAGGCCTGTTCTGATCACAATTAAATACATTTATACCCAGCTGAACGTAGAAAAAGACAATACAAAAACATCAGATATGAGTTCTTTTTTCACAAGGGCAATGTTGTTTTTTATGTTTGGAGTATTGCTCAAACTGGAGATCCAAGATACTCCAGTATCTGCTGATTCTGATGCACCAGTTAGATTAAAAGTCAAACTGAATGTCTGGAGAAAGACGTCAGACGGATCACAAGTTAAAAGAACTAGTTTGGTGAGGAGCAACACCTTTGACTATTCTTCTGAGAACCTGTTAGACTAGTGCTGGGTGACGGCTGAAAGAAGACGGAAAAGGCTTTTGCCAGTTTAGATGAGAGGCTGGGTGTGTTTGAACTTGCAAGTGTTTTCTACTTGTGTCTTAAATGTAATCTGTGTCCATTTATTAATATTTTTGTTTTATCAAGTCATCTATGGTGGAAATTTCTGCGTGGTGTGAAGCTAAAGATTTGTTGTTTGCCCTTTCAGGTCAGCCATCCTTGGTGAGTCATCTTTTCCAATGTGTGTTAGAGGAGGGGAGATAACCAGACACAGAAATTCATCTTGACATCTGTAACTGTCACTTGTTCTCCGGCCCAACAATGAGGGACAGACTGAGCAACCTGCAGGAACTGTCCAACGGCCATGTGGAGCAGATGGAGTATGCGGAGTCCACTGTCTCCGATGCCTTCAGTAACGTGGACCTGGAGGAGGAGTTGCCCCATGAGGCAGTGGTGTTTGACAACAGCCCCGCTCTGGTCGAGGTCTTCTCCCAGTCGCAGGACATCCACAGAGAGATCCAGCTCATCCGCCTGGAGAACAAAAGGCTCCGTGAGCAGAACTCTCGCATACTTCAGGGCGTCACCACCATGAGCACTATCAAAAGAGACTCCAATGCTATTGGTGCTGATATAAAGACTCGGGCTGAGGATGTGCTGGGACGCCTGAAGGAAATGGACAACACAGCCCACAAGCTAGAAGAAGAACACGGCTCAAATTCCGCCGTCACACGTATCGCCAGAACCCAGTATGCTTGCCTCAGCAATGGCTTCCGCGATGCCATGTTTGACTATAATGAGGCCGAGATGAGCCATAGGGAGAACTGTAAAGCCCAGATCCAGAGGCAGATGGAGATAGTGGGACGTGAGGTGTCAGGAGAGGAGGTGGAGGAGATGATCGAGAAGGGTCAGTGGAACATCTTTACTGACAACGTCATGGCTGAGGGTAAAACGGCTCGATCTGCTCTGTCCCAGATTGAGAAACGCCACCAAGAGTTGCTGGACCTTGAGAGCCGTATCCAGGGCATCCATGAGATTTTCCTGGACATTGCTATGCTGGTGGAGG